AAACCCATCGTGAACGCGTAATGTTAGGCATTGGGGAGGGGGAGTCAGTCGTTCCTTCATCGCGAACGTGAGCAGTGCCTCGCGAACACGAGCAGTGCCTCGGGGGGAGTAACCATCGTGAACGCGAGCTGGGTCTCGCAAAAGCGAAGGCTTGGCAGCCAGTACCCTTCGCGAATGTGATGAACACTGTCGCCCAACACTTAACAGAATCCAAAAACGGGATTTTAGCCAAAAATTCATTTTCTCAAAAACCTAAACCTCAAGGGGCGATTTTTCAAAGACCAATTCTTCCCCAAATCATAGGTAAGTGATTTTAAACTATTTTCTTTCAATTACCCATTACATTTTATGAATTATCAACCTAAAATCTAGAGTTTTCATGTTAGAATTAGGGGTTAGGGTAGAAAATAGGGATTTCGGAAATTTAAGGATTTAGACCTTAATTTGAGGTCAGATTCCTAAACTAATTACATATTCGGGCTCGGGGGTGAATGGGTAAAAGGATTTTGGTCCAAACCTCGGGTTTTGACCAAGCGGGCCCATGGTTGATTTTTTAACTTTTTGGAGAAAAATTTTGGGAATTTAATTTATGCAATATAATTGATTTCTTAAGCGATATTTGATATTATTGAGTCATTTTTGAATAGATAAGAGTGGTTTGGAGGTGAATTTTAAAGAAAAAGCTGTGATTGAGAATTAAGTGGCCTTCGGAGCGAGGTAAGTGTTGTGTCTAACCCTGACTTGAGGGAATTAGGAACCTTAGATTACTTGCTAAGTGAAATTCATGTGAGCGGTGTCTATGTGAGGTGACGAATACTTATGCGCCGCCAATTTATCTGTTTTTTCATGTTTCTCAGTTTTTCTTATATTGTCTCATTCCTATTCCTAATTGCTATGTGTTAAACTAGTGTTGTTCAATTTATCGTTCTTATCATGTTTACGGATTTTCTGGTGATAATTGAGTTTTTATTTCAAAGTTGAGATTGATGTTATGGAACCAAATGTTGAAGTAAGGTTTGTACTTGTTATTCTATCTCCCTATTGATATTTATGCATTGCATTATTGTAAGGGAGAGTGTTAATGCACGAAGGGTGATGTCGTGCCATATTGTGAGTGCTAATGCACGAAGGGTGATGACGTGCCCTATTGTGAGTGTTAATGCACAAAGTATGATGCCGTGCCATGATATGAGAGTTAATACACGAAGGGTGATGCCGTGCCGTTTCTATTTATTTTATGGTGAGATTGAGAGTAAAAGCACGAAGGTTGATGTCGTGCATTTTTCCTTACTGTATTCACTATTCCTGTTGATTCATGGTATATTGACTGCTGCGGTGATCATTCTGTTGTAGTTCTTTATCTTGTATTCCCCTCAGTATGTTCCCCTCCCGACATTTCCGATTTAGTTCTTCATTTATGTTATTTGTATATATACATTGTTAAATTGTACAGGTTGATTTGTAGGTGCCTTGCCTTAGCCTCGTCACTACTTCGTCGAGGTTAGGCTCGACACTTACCAGTACATGGGGTCGGTTGTACTGATACTGTACTCTGCACTTTCTGTGCAGACTTTGATACCGGCTCAGGTTGATCGAGATTTTGCTATCGGTCCGCTGTCCGGAGACTCAAGGAGATCTGTCGGCATTCACAGACCTTGAATTCCCCGTCTACTTTTTATGTCACTGTTGTTTTCTTTCATTCAGACAGTTGTATTTTTTTCTAGACTATTACTTGTAGTAAATTCTAGAATGCTCGTGAATTGTGACTCCAGATCCGGGTGGTAGTAATTAATACAGTTTTATAAAATTCCGCCCCCTTTTATATTTCATCTTAGTTAATTATTGTTATTTACTGAATGGAAATAAGGAATTGGTTTAACGATTTTCTAACGTTGGCTTACCTAACAAGTGAAATGTTAGGCGTCATCATGGTCCCGTCGGTGGAAAATTTTGGGTCGTGACAGGGTCTTCAAGAGTAACTTTGATGGTAGAATAGAGAGGTCTAAAGGAAAGTAGAGGCCAAGAAGGCTGCTTTATGAAATTAGTGGAGAGCAAAAACGAGCAGGATAAGAGGACGAATAGGGAAAGGTATAAGACAGCATAAAGTAGGCAAGGATAGCTATTACGGAGGCTAAAACAGCAGCATTTGAACACTTGTATGAAGAACTAAAGTGGAAAGGTGGGGAAAAGAAGTTGTATAGGCTTGCTAAGGCAAGAGAGATGAGGGCTCGTGGCATAAACCAAGTGAGGTGCATTAAAGATAAGGATGACAAAGTATTGGTAGAAGAGGCACACATTAAATGAAGATGGACGACATACTTCTATAAACTCTTAAATGTAGAGGGGGCATGGATATTATGTTGGGTGAATTATAGCACTCCGAGAGCCATCGAGATTTTGGGATTGTAGGTGCATAGAGCTTAAGTAAGCTAAGGGGGCAATTGGAAGATGAGAGGGGGAAGAGTGTCCGGGCCAAATGAGATTCTTATGAAATTTTAGAAGAGCGCAGGGCAAATGGGTATAGAGTGGCTAACTGGATTGTTTAACGTTATTTTTTGGACGACTAAAATGCCTGAATAATAGAGATGGAGTTTGGGATCCCGTTGTACAAGAATAAGGGTTATATTAAATATTTTAATAACTATCGGGGTATCAAACTACTAATTGTCTCACTATAAAAGTTTGGAAGAGGGTGGCAGAGATGTGTCTATTTCCAAGAAGGATTCATGTCGGGATGTTCAACTACGAAAGCCATTCATCTTTTAAGGAGATTGTTAGATCAGTATATGGATAAGAAAAAAGAGTTACATATGGTGTTCATTAACCTAAAAAAATCATACGAGAAAGTCTCAAGGGATGTTTTATGGAGATGCTTGGAGTCTAGAGGTATACCTGGGGCAAACATTAAGCAATTAAGGACATGCATGATGGAGCCAAGACCCAAGTGAGAGTAGTGGGAGGAGACTCATAACACTTTCTAGTCTAGATGGGGTTGCATCAGGTATCAACTCTTAGCCCATTTTTATTTACCTTGGTGATGAATGAGTTAACACGACATATTCAATGGGAGGTACTATGGTATATATTATTTGCATATGATATAGTACTGATTGATGAGACACCTGGCGAAGTTAACGATAGACTGGAGGTTTGGCGATAGAACCTAGAGTCTAAAGGATTCAGGTTGAGTAAGAATAAAATATAATATATGGAGTACATGTTCAGTGATGCATCACATGAGACGGATGTGGAAGTGAGTATTGATATACAAATCATCCATAAGAGAGGAAGCTTCAAGTATTTTGGTTCAATAATCCAAGAAAATGGGAAGATCACCAATGGTGTCGCATATTGTATTGGAGAGGGATGGATGAAATGGAGGTTCGTATTCGGTATCCTATGTGATAAGAATGTACCACCAAGACTTAAAGATAAGTTCTATTAAGTGGTTGTTAGACCAACTATGTTGTATGAGATAGAGTGTTGGCCAATCTAGAACTCACATGTTCAGAAAATGCAAGTAGCAAAAATAAGGATGCTTAGATAGATGTGGGCATACAAAGAGAGATAAGATTAGAACGAAGATATATGGGGCAAGTTGGGAGTGGCCCCCGTACGTGATGGACAAGATGCAGGAAGTGAGGCTGAGATGGTTCGGACATGTGAATAGGAGGAGCACAAATGCCCCAGTAAAGAGGTGCGAGAGGATGGTAGTGATAGATTTAACTTCTAAGGAAAGGTAGAGGTGGACCGATGAAGAATTGGGGAGGGGTGATTAGACAGGAAATGACACATCTTCAGCTCTCTGAGGCCATGACCCTAGATAGGAGAACTTGAAGGTCGAGAATAAGGGTAGAAGGTTAGTAGGTAGCCGAGCGATTTCTCTCTTTTCAATTGGGAAGCATGGTTCTAGTTTAAACCACCTTAACTACTTCTCTTTTATTTATTAGTATTATTTTAGTATTCTAGTATTATCTAATTTTTCAATTTTATTACTACTATCATTTCTTTTGCTTTGGTTCTCTTTATTATTTTTGCTCGTAATACTTTTCTTTTATTTTCTTCAGTATTTTCATCATAACTTTTTTATTCATGTATTTTTCAAACCTGTTAGGTTTATAAAATTCTTTTTTTGAGTCGATGGTCTATTAGAAATAGTCTCTCTGTCTCACATAAGGTAGAGGTAATGTCTCAGAGGCGGATACAAAATTTAAATTTTATGGGTTCAAACCAATTATATTTTTAAAGTTATGGGTTCATATCTACTATATGTTATAATTTTAGTAATTTTTTACACATAAAGTTATACTCCGCACTGAAAGTACTGGGTTCAGTTGAACCCAGTATCAAAGGGCTGGATCCACCCGTGAATGTCTGCATACACTATATCCTTCCCAGACCCCACCTATGAATGAAAGCACACTGGGTATGTTGTTGTATTGCCTCTCTTGGCTGCTCAATATTGCTAGTGACTTTAGCAGGAGTACCAATATAGATTCGATATCACCAATATAACTAGCCCCCAGTTAACATGCAACAGTCTTTATCTTTTTTATATATACTTGTGAGGTATTGTTCGTGACTTTAGCAAGATACGTGGTTGTTGCAGGAATTTGGTAGCAAAGTTACTCCGCATGAGGTTTGATGCACCTGCGCCATTTCAGCTCAAATAACAAAAGTAAGCTAAGTTTTGAACGAAAGAAGAACTTGTGGGCTATCAAATACGTTAAATGATTCTTCATCTCTTTTAACTCACAGGATGACAAGTCACTGATTGCATCTCTCTGAGAGGGGAGGAATGGGAGCTAAAACAGACTGTCGTTTATTCCAAGGGTACACCTGTTAAAACAGCAAAGGGCCAATATTGCCCATGAAACTATACGAAATGCTACAAGGATTAGAAGTTAGCACCCCCCTCCCCCCCAAAAAAAACGTGAGGGTACAAACATCAAGAGTAGGAGTACTCAAAAAGTTAATGTCGTGAGAGCTAAAGTCGCAAAAACAAAAAACAAAAATTGCACATTTTATTGCCAACTTACCACAATATTCCACAAGTAGGGGTAACGTTTGCGTACACACTACCCGAGACACCATAGTGTGGGATAATACTGGGTATGTTGTTACCACAATATTCCAATAAATATGTTCTCATCTTACGATATCCTCTAAAGGATTGTACAACCAGAAGCCGCTCTTTGGACTAATCCATTTTTCTGTTTCCCTTTCCTACTGTAAAAGAATCATTCTGCTTAAAAAATGTAAACGCGACTTATTACAAAAGAATTGCGATCTTCCAGGCTCTGCTCCAACGGGAGATCAAGCTGAGAGGATGAGTTTGAAAAAGAATCGGTGTATCCGCTCTCTAAATTATAACAAAATTCCAGATTTACCATCTCCTGATTGTTAGTTGCTTTCAGTATGTCAGCTCATTCACGGACATCCAATAAAATTGGAACAATACTTGCTTTCACAATGTCAAGGCTTTCCGAAGTTGCAAAAGCCACACTGCTATATGCATTGCGCAAAGTCGGCCTTCCAACAAAAACTTCTGTACCCAAAAATTGATCCAAGATAACAACGACCTCTTTTGCGACAGCATAGACTCAAGAACGGCTTCAGATGAAACCCTTCCAATGATCAAGAATGACTCAAGAGAAGGCCCTTGAACCTGTTGATAATGCATGAGAGAAATATCAGTTGATAATTCCTGAAGTCAGGTTAGAAAAGGGAAGAAGAAGAATTAACCTTAATAGCCGCTCACTTAATCACTTAAACTAAAAGTAGCCTGGGGATGTATAATATATGTGTAATCCATGTATAGTACGTGTATAACCATGTACAATCAGTGTATGATCCATGTGTACCGGCTAAAAAAAGGAAGCAGTGAATTCGGCCGGCTATTTATGTAAAGATCCCGAAGAAGAATCCACAAGATGCTTCATATAGCAAATTCTTTCAAGAGAGGACAAACAATTTGGGAATACATTCATTTACTAGTTTCTTTAAAATCAGCTTTTTTGGTAGTTCTAGTTATGAAGGTGTTGCAACTAATCTGACTGATATATTTCTAAGATGCAATTAAAATGAAACCTTTTGGAAGACAAGGGAGGGATTGCCTAGTGGTTATGATCTATTGATCTTCCACACCTAACGTGGGGATTTCGAGTCACCAAGGAACAAGGTGGAAACATGCCACCATTGGGCTCACAGTTTTGGGTAATGGATTTTACATTATCAAAATAAAAAAAATAAAGAAAAATAAACCTTTTGGAGAAGGGATGAAAGTTTTTTCCTCAATTTGCCGTCTCAGGAAGGTTGACAGTTAACTAAATAAGGGTCGAGAAGTATTGAATTTCTTATTTCAAATAAGTTGGTTTATGAATCCGACAAAAGAAGGTTCTCAGAGTTTGTAAGATTTTCATTCTAGTCTAACCATATTAATAACAGCAAAAATAAACTCGTACCAATGACCCATTAACTGCTCGTAAGCAGTCATTTGTCTTGAGCATTAGAAGAATAACCCGGGGCAATCTCCTCAGTAGTTCAGTGATTTGCGGAAAATATTGAGAAGCATACATCTGCGGAACAACAGAAATAGTTGACAAAAGCAAATGAAATTAGAGAGATTCAGACCTTCATTGACAGCAAGCATACTAGGACATATTAAATAATAAGAGAATACTTGGTGTTTTACAAGGTAAATAAGACTTCTCTGTCACAAATCATTTTCTCTTCCTATCTTTATTTCAACATAGACCCAAAAAGAGAGGAGCACAGACAGGAAGAAGTTACAGGAGTTAAGGTGAATGCACTATAATTTTCACACAAGCATTACATGATACAGTACTATAATGTTATGTTTGCCCCACAAAATTCAGCTAAAGCTAAAATGAATCAGCCTGCATGACAGAAATATCTCTGTAACCCATTTTACTTACCGGCTTTTTTGAAAATATTCCGTGCAGACTATCCAGAAAAAATAAAAAGGAATTAAGGAAAATATTGCATTGCTAGATAATAAAGCTAAGCCGCCAAAGCTAAGGAGAAATAAGAACTCATCCTAGATTCAGGGAGTGCTTATTTTATTTTCTCCCTGAATCTAGGACGAGATTCTTCGGAGATTCATAATCTTAACTAGCTCCATACTGATAGAATAAGTCACCTGCAGTTCTGAACGGTCACTGTCCGTGCCTTTGACAACAAGATGATCAACTGAAGGATCTATCACTTTATTCCATGGCCTCATTGTGAGAATCCCAGCAAACAATGCGTAAAGATCGTCTCCAGCACCCAGCTTTACACAATTTTCCTTTATTCCATTGGCATCAGAATATACCAAAGCCTGCAGTAAATGCCACATTGTAATGTTAATAGAACGAGTAAACCAACGGCTGTATATACAACTTATCAAGGATATGCAATTCACCTTCCACAGTGAAGCATAGTTTATTCTGGTGTTGTAATCAAGTTCTTTGTATAACCCATGGTCCAAAAGTATCAACTGGGGTTTTCTCCTCCCTGTGCAAGATGGATAAATATAGAGAGAAAGAAACTACACAATGTCATCTTCATTGCTCAAGCAGACATTGAATCTTTTTTGGCAACCATTAAAGCTCATCTCAGGACTGATTAAAAGAGTGGAAAGAATATTAAAACGCGTAACTGGAGAGTGGATTCTGAAGAACCACCTTGTCCATTCCTGAGCAAAAGGAGATTTTTGGATCCTAAATTGGATCTGCTCCTAGTCCGAACACTTTCAGGGTGAGGGACAAGGAAACACATGGCATACATGCATGAAAATACGCATTTTTTATGAGATCTTAAAGGGTTTCACTGAAGCAAAGGGACAAAAAGGATACACCCGCATACTAGAGATTTCGAAGGGGAAAAAACAACCAAAGAGGTTAAGAGTTCCTAATCACGATGCTCATAAGCCATTTATACAAGTTGGCATGAGAATTGTGCTCCAAAAAACAAACAGAAAACATCAGGATCAAGTCCTCTTTCACTGATCTTTCATACCATTTTGCATGATCTACTTCGGCCTAAGTAAAGGTAGGGTTTGACAGTTCTGAGGGTACCAGGGATGGATGAGTTGATGGTCCATGTCTTTTCCATAGATTTGTAAATGTTAAATCTTTCATCGTAATGAACAGTTAAGCTCTGTTTGTATCCTAACATGGTGATTGGATTCAAAAAGCTTATAAACAAACTTAAAACCAACTTTTGGGGGGTGAACAACTCAATTTGGTATCACAATTGCTTAAGTTTTGGATATCCGCCCTTGTCCAGACTTTATGGCCGGACAGTTCCTTTCTCCTCTTTTCTTTCCTTACCCTTTTATTCAATTCATATGGCCAACAAAGAGATTCCCTTTTTTGTTTATTGACCAAGTTGCTAGCAAATAGAGATATTCAGTTGATATTTCTCGTGATCTTTTAACCAACATCTACAATGTCTTAAGGCTTCAGTCATAATGTTTCAGAAGTTTATAACTGAAATCCAGATACAGAAGTTTTTCAAAACCAAATCTTTTTAAAATTAAATCCAAATACACACAATTGTTTCCGGAAACCAAATCCAAAATCAATTCTTTCCAAGCAAATCCCTCAACCAAATCCAAATGGGATCATTTTTAGGTTCACATAGTAACTATAGCTTGACCTAGAACAATTGCATTTGCAATTTTGGAGGTGAAGTATCTCCAGTAGGCAGAGTGGTGGGTGGAGATAAGTCCCCCAATACCCATCCATGCCCACCTTATCTCCATCCTTCAAGATGGCTCACATGCATCGTATTGACAAAGCTTTACCTCCCTAACCTATGTGCAGGCAGACACAGCAAACAGCAGTTTATTCACCTTTGAGGTATGGTGCCACAGATATAACCCAAAAACTGCAACCAATTTGCCTCTCTAGACTTTGTGGGACTCAAAACTAAATCTCCTTAAATCCAATAATTTGGAATGAGTTTGAATGGTAAGAAAAATATTAGAAAGAAAATGTAAGACAAGTGCACATAACTTCAATGCATGATACGTTTAAGATATTTCAACATTGGATAATTGAATTACAGACTTTTCATTAAAGCAAAAGGAAAGACAACTTTCAGCAATATCGAACTTAATTTGAAATTCCTTGGATAGACAGAAGGTATAAATACGATCCAACTCCATCAAGAAACATAACAATATTACGAGAGAGATGAAAGGCTTACCAAAAATGCTCCTACGGCTGGAAGGCAAAGGGCGGACTAGCAAGTTTGCAGCATGTGGATCACAATGCACAAAACCATGTTTAAACATCATTTCAGCAAAGGTCTCACTAACCTACATAGGTGGCATAATGAGCTTTTTATAATTACTTCAAATGAAAAGTATGAACTATATCAGAGAAACTGATGTACACCTATTGATTTAATCTTTTCAAAGAATGTCATGAGATAGAGACATCAAAGAAAAATCAACAGAAATTAAACATAATGTTGGATAATGATTAACCAAAAGTAAAGGTCCTCGCGTCAAGTCATGAAATACCCCAGTAAGGTAGTGTTAGTTTATAGATATATATAGTGTAGTCTTGTCCCACATTGGAAGAGGAGCAATATCTCCTTATAGTGTATAGCTATAAATAGGGACCTCTTGTATTGTATTTATCATCCAATATCAATAACATATTTTCTCTCGTGCCTTCTCATATGGTATCAGAGCATTAGTGAGAAAAGATCGTTGTGCGTCATTCTAGCGTTAACCGGGAAGAAAGAACTTAGTCATCGTGTAATTTTTTCGGTGACCTAAGGCTTGTCTAAGTGAAAGTTACTTTCTGTCGGTGTTGTGCTAAAACAACACCACCACGAGGTAGATCACCCTCCGACTACCAACCGCTGAAATTTTATCCGGCAGAAAAGCCGCTACGCTCCTCCACGCGCCGGCAACAACTTTTCCGGCGAGGGTTCCTGCCACTTTCCGGCCATTTTTTCGCGAAGATTCTTCAGGACAGTGTGCTCTCCTCAAAATTCCGAGCCTACCCATCTAATTCAAATCAAATTCCGGCCACTTTTATATTTTTCCGGCATGAACAGTGACCTTTCTGGCCATTTTTTGAAAATATTTCTTCAGGACAGCTTGCTCGCAAAGGAATTCCGAGTCTATCCATCCTGGTTACAACAAATTCCGACAACTTTGGAATTTTCCGGCTAGCTACAGTGTTTCCGGCGCAGAACAATGTTCTGTTTTCCTGCTTTGAACAGTGTTTTTCAAGCTATTTCTTCAGTTTTCTCACAGGAGTTACTTATTTCTACTATTTCA